ATGGTGGAGAAGAGGTAGCATGCTCTCCAACTGTGGTGCATACATACATCCTTTCTTGAGAATCACGGATCCATTGATCTACCAGGTTGGCATTGAAACCACTCCAAAGAGCTATCTTGACTGATGCCACCTGGTGCATACTGTCATTTTGGCTTAATGTACTGCTTATTCTCCTTCAAGATCCTTACATTCAGCCACACCTGGCTGTTTGCTCTCTTCTGAGTTTACATCTCAAATGAACTTCAGTTACTTCTATTTTATCAAGACTTCTTACCGCCTCTGTGGAGTTGTTCCTAACTTCTCTCTCACAAAACTATGAAAATTTGCATTTCCTCCTATATCTCTAAAATTTTGCACAATTACTACAAAACAGAAGATATGTCTTTAAATATTTCATTAATGAGTGAAGAATAAATATATTTGACTTAAAAAAACCCAAATTTTGATTCTGTCTTACCAACTCTGAGACCCTTTGGAAGTTTCTTGGCCTTTTCCTTTCCCTAGTTGTAAATAGGGTGAATAATAATTAATCCCAACTGATAAGGTTATTGGGGCATTAAATGAAACAGTATATGTCAGCACTTATAATAGTACCTGGTACCTCAAAAGCACATAATAACTGCTCGGGGAACAATCTAAATGAACAGTTTGAAGAGTGACTAGGAACTGTACATGATTAACTTAAGGTAGATTAAAGTAAAAGGGAAGGGAAGGGGAAAAGTATGTTGGGCATTTTAAATACCACACAGCTCGGCGCCATCATGGTACACACCTATAATCCCAGTGACTCAGGAGGCTGAAGCAAGTTCCAGGCCAGCCTGGGCCACTTAGTGAGACACTGTCTCAAAATAAAAATAAAAAGGGCTGGGGGTGAGGCTCAGTGGTAAAGAACTCCAGTATCTTCAGTACCTCACCCCACTGCCCCCAATACACACACACAGACACATAAGATTGTGTGACATTTATAAAGGTTTCTTTTTCTTTTTGGTACTGGGGATTGAACTCAGTGGTGCTTTACCACTGATCTACATCCCCAGTCCCTTTTACTCTTTACTCTTTTACTCTCACTAAGTTGCTCAAGCTGTCCTCTAACTTGCCAGCCTCCTGCTTCAGCCTCCCTAGTCACTGGGATTACAGCAGCTAGAAGGGTTTCTTAAGCAAGATTTAAGTTTTGCTTTCATTTTTACACTCCTCCCCCAAGCCACTCTGTATAAATGTCACACACACACACCCATACCTCAGATCTTTGCAGAGTATAGGAGGGACTCCAATCTGTCTTTGAGGTGAAATTTTGAAAAAAGCCCAAGGGTTTTCCTGTGTGCCATGGAACAGGATGAGGGATGAATTTCCCATGGAGCCCCTGAGCCCTTTTCCCTATTCTTTTGGTTCATTCATATTTTCATATTCATATTATTCATCATATTCTCTCTCTCTCTCTCTCTCTCTCTCTCTCTCTCTCTCTCTCTCTCACACACACACACACACACACACACACACACATTCACTCACTCAGTCACTCATTCTCTGTCACCACTGGGATGCAAAAGCAGACAGTGCATTTACAGCCTTTTCACCCAAGTGTGAAGGTGCTTGAAGATAAATGAGTCAGTTGTGAGAGCCAAGAAGTAAAAGCAAGGATCCAGGTGGGAAGCTGCCAAGGTACAACCCAGGAACATCTGCTTTAACAGGGTGGACTCAGATGGGAAACACATTTAACTACACTGAAACTGACTGTTCTGAATTTTTTCTCTGTATATAATTCCCTACCATAGAGGTTCTATTACATTCACATTTGTGATGAGGAGCATCCCATCAGTTTCTGCTGAATTCACATGAGAACTGAATATTCCAGTTCTCCCTTTAACATGGTATAGATAGGGGAAGGATATGGTCTTCATGTTCCATTTTCTACTTGTTCTCACTAAACGGAAACACCAAAAATCACTGATTAAGGCAAATTGTGTCAATTTAATTGGCGGTGTGGCGGGGCCCATGGCCCTGTGATTGGTCCTAGAACTGCCATAACAAGATACTACTAACTGGGGACTCTCATGTCCTGTTCTGCTTCCCTCTATGTTCATGCTATCCTCCTTGCTATTCATTGCAAGCTTTGACCTCAGAGCCCTTGCCCTTATTCCCTGTTCCTGGGAGAGAAACATAGCTGGCTTCCTCACCTCTGTTTTAGGGGTCCTCCCTGATCCTATTCAAAGTTGTACATTCACCCTAGTCCTTCAGCTGTGACTCTTCCTTGCTGTTTCTCCTGGGCACCATCGCCTTCTAACAGATTATGTAATATTTACCTGGTTTATGTTTCTCCACAAGGACAGGGATTTGTATGTTTTATTCACTGCTGAATTGCAGATACCTAGAACACAGCCTGGTCCCTCATGGTACTCATCAGTTAAACAGACTGGGTTTTGCCTCCAGTGAAGATCTTTCTAGCATAGTACACTCTAGGTGCTTGATTCAGAAAAGGCACAATTCTTTCATCATGAGAGATAATGTATCATGGCCTCTGTTTCATGAGCCATTATCTCAGCCCAGCATCATCAAATTACCTGCATAATACAACATTAGAAGGGAGTATAATGTCACTGTCTATATATTCCTGTAAACTCAACTAAAGACTGTTGACTTTGTACTTAATAAAATGAAAGTATTAAGTTACTTAAAATTTTTAGTTCCTAAGTTCTAGTTTCTCAGAAAGTTTTATGTGACACTGTTTATTTACCTTTGTGGTTGAGATTATTTTGACAAAAGTTTTATTTTTTCCCTAAAAGGGATTTTATGTTACTGATAGACCCTTGGATTATCTTTTCTTCCTACTTTTCTACATTTTCTGTAACAATTTTGTATTACTGCAAAATGAGAAAAATAACTAATGACTTTTTAAAACTTTCTACTACTTTTCTAAATCTGCATAAAAAAGAAAGGTTTTTAAAATCCCATGTTCAAATCCCTATCTCTTGTCAAAGTCTGTGAGTAAGCTAATCATTTGAGAAACTAAAATTGCCAGTGAAAGATGATACAGGGAGGATGTGGGATTAGGCAAGATTATTAAGACTGGATGAGTTTCTCATACAAGGATTCAAAGGTTTTTTCAAAAAGCTAAATGGGAGAATGGGATTTGTCTGTAATCTAGGCCAAGAATGGACAGTGGACCTTTGGGCTTTCTGGGAAGCTTCTGTAGCACAAGGGATGCTTTATTTGGTATCCAAGGATATATAGTAAAGTTAAGTCACTTTAACTCAAAAAGAAATACAGCCTTGATTATTCATGAGGGATTTAGAATCAAAAGTTAAAATGAGATTTTGTTAAAATACACATGTGTAAAAATGCTTCATACATCATAAAATACTCTGAAAATATTTGGTTCTGATGTTTCTGCTTTAGTTGAAGGAAAAATGAGTTTAAACAATTTGGCTAGTTGTGTGACTTTGAGCCAGTCACTCAACTAATGTTTTCTAGATCCATGGATATCTTTTGACTTTATTTGCCTCATATAGTTATTTAGAAGTTCAAATGGATGTGGAATGTCTGGGAAAGGATAATGCATAATAAAATTTGATGTATTACTCTAGAGATTTCAATTTGATAAAGGCCTCCAGAAATCTTAAAATAAGTAAATACTTCTCCCTATGATTCTCACAGGAAACTTACTCTGGTCAAACCCACAATCACTTTCCTGAAGGATGAGACTTTAAGTACCTGGGAGTTCTATACTGCTTGTGAAAATCCAGGGTTCCTTTCTGTGTCTGGATGTGTCAAGGATACCTGAACCTAAACAACCAGAGGGCAGTAAGAATGGTTGAAGAACAGGAGGTTGAAGTGTCTTTAAGTTGATTGGCTGGCTGGATGGGGAGATGTTTCTGGTCTCTGGAGAGAAAATACAGAAAGCTCAATCCTTTTGAAAAGGTTCTGACCCACAGCAGCCAATCTCCTCAGGCCATCTGGTACTCAGGCTGTAACTGGCACCAAAATCTAAAAAGGGGAACCCTGTCATGGGGCCTTAAAGGGAAGATGTTGGTCCTCATTCAGCAGACTACAGATTCTTTGTCTGCAGCCTCTGTGTCTGTTTTTCTTCATTATGGTATCTCCAGAGCAACCATGTTACCACCAATAGGTACTCAATAAATTCTTGCTAAATCAATAACTAAAAGTGGTTAAACAAGTAAGAGTAACAACAGAAGCATTTGGAAACTGTGTGGGGCTCCAGCTGATGATTAAAAAAGGTTGAGGCAAGAGAAACTTCCATAGTTCTATCAGTGAAGCCTCCAACCATAGAAATGTTTCCTTACACTTATGGTGATAGTACTATTGACTAAAGCTGCAGTAACCCAGATAATCACCTTTTACTCAGCTATTTCAATCTAATAGTGAAGACTACAAAATAATTTGGTTGATAGATGCCACATTTCACAATACATGCATTATAGTACTTATTATTATTTTTTTTAACATTTATTTATTTATGTATCTTTAGTTTTTAGGTGTACACATTATTTTGCTTTTATGTGGTGCTGAGGATCGAACCCAGTGCCTCATGCATGCTAGGCAAGCACTCTACCACTGAGCCACAACCCCAGCCCCTATAGTACTTATTAACAGTAGAATTATGATCATTAATAATTTTTAGATTTCAAAAAATATAGTCCATCAGCTCAAATTTTAGTCTTTTAACACTATTACCTGTAAAAGTAGGAGTATTTATTCAATTAGATTGAAATCCTCAGAGAAATCAACTTTTTAAGGGGCAGTTTGTTTTACTCACGAGTGCGGAATAGAGGTCTATGTATATTGGGCGGGGGGAGTTGTATATAGAGAAAACTTAAAAGCTTATATATTTTACTAATTCTAGAAGGATATAAGATATCCTAGCCTCCTTCTGGTAATGTTTGTATAAATAAAATTTGCTTTAGGACAGGCTTTGTTAAGGTAGCCCCTATCCAGGGCCTTGTCAAAGAAGGTAACTGTTTTTTAAATCGTTAACACCACAACAATCCATATACAAAAATCCATTTAATGATAATTTGTGTAAGTAGATTTATAGAGACAGAAAAGAGTTCCACTTTTTCTTTGCCAAGCAATCAAGCAAAACACAGGACCAATACAATTAGTAGGCAGAAGTGGGTGGCAATGGCTGTTCTCTAAGTAAGACATGATCGCCATCTGGAGGATCCATTTGAAACTACCGTGCAGTGACCAAAACCTACAAAATATTTTCAAGAGTTAAAAGTTATGTGGGCAACAGAGACAGAAATAAACCATTATAATTTCATGGCTATGAATGCCTATTATTTCAAGCTTCTAGTAAATGAATCTTGCAAATATCGTTATTGAGATACTTTCAGCCAAAACTGGAAATAAAACCCTGATATCTTCAGAGCATTAAACTTAGCTCATCAGTAAATACAGGTCAGGAAGAAACTAGACAGGAGGGTAAAAGGCAAATGTATCCACAGTTTGCTGTGTTCTGCTGCCCTAAATAGGACCTCATACAAATCCATAGGAATTTTTATTCACCAAAAGATGCAAAATACTGATAGTTTAGTTCCATCAGGAACATCTGCATTTAAGAATTTTTTTTTAGTTGTAGATGGATAGATTACCTTTATTTTATTTATTTTTATGTGGTGCTGAGGATTGAACCCAATGCCTCATACATGCTGCTCTCTACCACTGAGCCACAACTGCAGTTCCAACATTTGCATTTTAGTAGATTCAAAGTCTTAATTAAAAGTGAGAGAGGAAAAGATAAACAGAATTTTTAGTACTTGTCAACTGTTGGAGCAGTGATGGAGTAAGATAACCATCTCCTTTATAAAATTCTTAATTATCCTTTAAAACTAGGACTTACTGATAAATAAATATTTATTCATTTACTTATTGGGTGCTGGGGATTGAACTTGAGAGTACTCGACCACTGAGCCACATCCCCAGCCCTATTTTGTATTTTATTTAGGGACAGGGTCTCATTGAGTTCCTTAGTGCCTGCTTTTGCTGAGGCTGGCTTTGAACATGTAATCATCCTATCTCAGCCTCCTGAGCCATTGGGATTACAGGCATGTACCACCGTGCCTAGCTGATAAACTTATTTTAATGATAATATTTCAAAAGGGGCCAGACTCAGTGGCACATGCCTATAATCCCAGGAACTGGTGGCTGAGGCAGGAGGAATGCAAATTCGAGGGCAGCCTCAGCAATTTAGCGAGACCCTCTCCAACCTAACAAGACCCTCTCAAAATAAACAAAAAGGGCTACATACTTAGTGGTTGTGTGCCTCTGGATTCAACCCCCAATACCACACTACCACACACATACACACTCAAAGGCATATTAGCCTCTTTCAGAAGTTTGAGTAGTTAGCTGGGCTTGGTGCTCACCTGTAATCCTGGTGGCTCAAGAGGCTGATGCAGGAGGATCCCAAGTTCAAAGCCAGCCTCAGTAACTTAGCAAGGTCCTAGGCAACTTAGCAAGACCCTGTCTACAAACAAAAACTAAAAAGGGTAGGGATGAGGCTCAGTGGTTAAATACCCCTGGGTTCAATCCCTGGTACCAAAAAAACCACAAAGTTTTGAGTAGTTAGAAACATCTGTACTTCCTGTGTTTATATACTTCTAATGAGATACTAGTATTTTGAGAGCATATCATAGCTGGGCATGGTGGTGCATACCTGTAATCCCAGCCACTCAGGAGGCTAAGGCAGGAGAATTACAAGTTCAAGGCCAGCATTGCAGTGTCTCACAAAAAGGTGGGGTGGGGGGAGTTGGTGATGTAGTTTAATGATAAAGTACCCCTGGGTTCCATCCCCAGTACTGCCAAAACAAAAAAGGAGAGAGACTATATTATAGTCCCCTATCTCAATGATTCTCAAATATCACTTGTAAAATAAACGGTTTCTTTTTTCTTTTTAAACATTTTCCAATCACTTGAGGGTCAATCTTCTGCAAATTAAAACTTGTATGGCAATATCTTAGTTTCATGCTTCTTTCTATACTTATGTTGCCATAGGCAAATCATAACAAGGTGCAGATTGGCATTGGTCTGAGGTACATTTGAAGATAACTTCTCTACTTTCTGTTTCCACTTAAAAAAAATATATCTGGATGATTTAATCTAAATATCTCCACCAATACCACCATAGTTATGTTCAAAAGTTTGATTCACACCTTTCTCCCTTATTTTTCTTCCATTTTTGAAACACTATAGTCTTTGAATCTTTAATAATGAAAATTTCACTTTCAAGTTTCCAGTTTAAATTGACCTTCTACTTGAAATGTTTGCACAATTCCTCCTTCCCTATTTTCAGTTCAACCTCATTCAGTTTTGCTAACTTTATTTGCTGTGAATTTGACCTCGACAAACAGAAGCTTGTACAAGACATTTAGGTAGCATAAAAGTTGAGATACTTGAGGATGAACAAGAAATTCACTTAGCAAAACAATGTAGCTAACAAGACACATGCTTTCTTGATTTAAAGATTACAGGAAAGCTTGAGTTGGATTTTTTTTTTTTTTTTTTGGCCAAAACAGAGATTCAAAGTCTTTTTATTGATAAATAGTTCTAGCTTTCTTAGGTTTACAATGTTTTTTTTCTGATCCCAATAACCCAAGATAGGAAATCCCACACGTGCATATATTAAATAAAGTGTTCATACATTTCCATTTATAAGGCACAAAACTCACAAATCTTTCAGAAAAAGGAATAAAAAGTACTCTTTGTTTCTGAAGACAAGAAAATAATCTTAGAGGAGGTTCATCAAACTGTAATTAAAACAAACCACTTCCTTTTTTAGTAAACAAGGGACTTTATACTGATAGGAAATGTAGCCAATGAAGAGAAGGCTTCTCAGCCCTTCCTTTGATGCAGCCTCCTTCACTGGATTAGTGCAGAAGCCAGTCCTCAGAGAGGGCTGCATGGCCAGAACAATAATTGCAAGCACCACCTGTCTCACAGAAGCTGCTGGGCAGCAATGTTCCAAGCAGAGCATTTTGGTTATAGGTGCCTGATTCCCTTGCTCTTACCCAAGGACCCTTTAGGGACCAACCACAGTGAACACATGTACTGGGACTTGATTATTTTAAGGTTCTGCCTGCTTGAGGCCCCTGAATTGAGGTGGTTATGTTGGTCCTTCATGAGGCAGAATCTATGTAGAAGGCTGGACTTCAAGTTTCTCTTGAAATAATCAGACCCCCAGAGGAAACTTAGGACCATTTCACCCTACAAAGGGTTCCCCACCCCCACCCCCCAAAAGAGCCATTTTTGTCAATATGTTTTTTAGAATCTTACAGCAACCCCCAGATCTTCTGGTTTGTAAGGCAGCCCTAATAGCTCTGGTAATCCTACAGTTCACAGGTATAAAAGAAGGGTCCCATAACACCAAACAAGCAAGTTTGTTGCTTGTTGGCTGGGCCTCCTGGAGGCTCTTGGCACTGTACTTTCTAGTACCATTTACATCAGTATTATACAAGAATGAACTTCCTGCATGTCACATGGCTTCAAGCATTTCCTGGAAGTATGACTGCTTCATAGTTACCATGCAAAGAAGGGACAGGAGTGAACAGCACTTCAGACAAAAAAAAAAAAAAAAAAAAAAAACAGCCAGGCAGACAATTGTCCTGAGAAAGGGTCAGTGGTAGAGTGGATGAGAGAGTAGGGATCAGAAATCAGATGAACTGAGTAATTCATTATTTCTAACAGTTTCACTGAATCATCTTGAAGATTCTGACTTTTCCTCTAGATAATTTGAAATCCAAATAAGACAAGGTCTTTAGGTCAATTTATTCAATTACCAAAGACCAGCATAGTAGGATGGTTATTCCAATAAGGTGAGGACAAACCTACTTACTTTCCAGTACTATTTTATTATCCACTCTGGAAGCTTGCCTCTGGAAGCTATAGTCAGAATCTGCTAAATTTTCAGGCATGAAGATAGTTCTCAGTTCAGTGTTTCATCAATCTTACCAAGATCCCTTTCCTTCTAAGGCTATGACCCAGAAGGAAAAGGAATATTCCTTTACTTAACAACAAAACTCTTGAATCCTTTGGCTTTAAATGCTGTAGCCATAGCATATCCTTGGAAATACATATTAATTTGAAAATCAACCCCTAAAAATAACAAGTCAACTTCCATTGTTGTATCAAGTTTTCCCCAAATCACAAGGGCCACGTTCACATCTACATCCTATTCCACCCAAAAGCCTCATGAATCTTTCTTTGTCAGTCTGGCCTTGACTTTGTGTCTCAGAAGGGCTGCGGTGGCAGCACTACAGGCGGCCAAGAAAAAGAAAGAAAGGCAGGCCATGTAGACAGACAAAGGACCATGGCGCTGTTGGAAGATCTCATGTCGCCCCTGGTAGTCCAAAAGGATGGCTTCCAGTTGTGAGAGCGTGCAGATAGACAGAAAGGCATGGAAGATTTGATGCCCATGGCCCACGATGTCACAGGAACCCGGGAAATACTTCTCAGGTACCGGGCAGGAGAAGAAGTAGGCGCTGACCAGGAAGAAAAAGATCTGGAGGGTGTGGTACCAGGCTGCCTGCTCCTGGCAGCCAGCCAGGTGGCAGAGTGCCACCCGGTGTGCCACAGGACTGATGTCTAGGATGAAGGCCAGCCCTGCCGGTACCACTTGACAGATCTTCCTCATAACTGGGTAAGGCCTTCGGTAACGATACTTTGCGTAGCAACAGCCAGTACACGATAACCAGCCGCAGAAGGCAGCTGCGGGCAAGAAGAAAAGCCAGAACCGCTCGTACCAGGCCTGGTCGGAGCTGTAGAAGAAGTGGGCCAAGGCACTGCCATATTGGTAAACACTGACGCCAACGTAGTCCACGAAGTAGAAGGTGTAGTGGGACAGCTCGGACTTGGACTGCAGCAGGTGGGCCAGAAGGCTGCACGTGAGGTACGTGATGGAGGACAGGATAAACAGGAGCAGGGGCAGGGAGTGAGGAGAGGCCCACGGCAAGGCCTCGGCCTCCGCAAAGGCCCAGAATCGCAAAAGTACGGCCAGGGCCGCCAGCAGGTGGGTCCAGACGTTGACGACTTCGTTGTGTTTCTGAAAGAGGCTGAAGAAGTAGTAACGCCATTCGTGCCCCGTGGGGCGGTAGCCCGTGCGGATGTACGGCTCCCGGAAGAGCTGGGGCACATCCGTTTCCGGGACGGTGCAGGGCATCTTGGGAAGTCCATCCTCCAAGATCTTGGGCAGGCGGCGCAGGTGCTGGCCGCTCACGGACAGGGTGCTCAGGCGCTCCAGGATGGCTGTCGTCATGGCGGTGGCGTCGTGGGGGCCGGGGCAGCCTGAGGAAGAGAGGGAAACCGCGATGAGACACGCGGCAGACAGCGAGGAACTGTGACCAGTCTTAATGGACTTGGCTTCCTAGGGCAGGAGGGGAAACCGGGAACTGCAGCTGGCTTCTCTGGACCTCGTTTTCCTCATCGGTAGAAGGATGGAGTTGGAACAAGGTCCCTTTACTGTCCAGTGTTCTGATTCTGTATCTGCTGCATACTACAGGGTGAGGCAGAGCCACGCCTTGTCAAACAGGTCTCTTTGCCACCTTAACATTGTTTAATAATAAACAAGATTTAATGGTACGTCAGATTACTTTTAAAGACTAGAGTTCCTTAATGTAATTAAAATGTAATTAGGCTTGAACTACTATAAATATGTTGAAACATAGAACAACAAATATAAGCACGATAAAGAGCTGGGCGTGGGGGTACCGCCTGTAATCCCAGCGGCTAAGGAGGATGAGGAAGGAGGATCACAAGTTTGAGATCAGCCTCAGCAACTTAGGGAGGCCCTGGGGAATTTAGCGAAACCCTGTCTCAAAAAATAAATAAATAAATAAATAAATAAATAAATAAAAGTGGGCGGGGAGCTGGGGATGTTGCCCAGTGATAGATAGATAGATAGATAGATAGATAAAAATAAAGGCTAATAAATGCTCCATTTCTTTGGCACCCACCTAATCTTAAATTACCCACTAATTTCACTGGTAACTTGAAAATCTGAGGTAAGCAATTGTATTAACTTCAAACTAAAGAAAAGCAAATTAGGTTGGGAAAAAAGCAAATTAGGTTGGGAAAAACCAATGCACATTCTGAGATATTTTAATAGTTAAAATTAAAACATGGCTTAACATAAAGTCTTAATTGCAAATATTGTTCTATTTAATTTACTATTATTATTTTCAGTACTGAGGATTGAACCCAGGGGTACTCTAGCCCTGAGCTATGTCTTCAGCCCTTTTTATTTTTCATTTTGAGACAAAGTATCACTGAGTTGCCCAGGCTGGCCTCAAATTTGTAATCCTCTTGCCTCAGCATCCCAAGTTATTGGGATTACGGGCCTATGCCACTGTGCCCGTCAGGATTGTTCTTTTCAAAAAAGGAGAAAAGCTCTGGAAATGGGGTAGTGGGATTTGTCTATCTTGGATAACTAAATTTGTACTTGCAGGCTTCAGAAATGCTTAACTTATTCTTGGAATGTCTATGTGACAGATTTAGTCTGATGAGCACAGCAACTATTTTGTAAAATATTTCATAAAATTTATGCAAAATTCCATGTGAAGTTACTGGGTAAAGAAGCATACAGTTAACTGTACTTTATAATTCCTAAGCTTGTTTCCTCAATAAAAGTTATATAGTGGGCTGGAGTAATAGCTCAGTGATAGAGTGCTTGCCTAGTACATGTGAGGCACTGGAGTCAATCCTTATTAGCACCATATAAAAATGAATAAATGAAAGTATTGTTTCCATCTACAACTAAAAAAATATTTTTAAAAAGTTACATAACAATTTATATAAATGGACCCCTACCTTCAAAGATCTTCAACAGGAAAAAATACAGCAAGTACTATAATTTTAGTGAAAAAAATGTAATATTCCCACTTATTTACATAGAAGGAGAAAAAAATCTAATCAGATAAAAAATGTAGGGCATGATAAATAAAATGTGGCCAGACGTGGTACTACATGCCTATAATCCCAGCAACTTGGGAGGCTAAGGCAGGAGGATCACAAGTTTGAGGGCAGCCTCAGCAAATTAGTGAGACTCTGTCTCAAAAGAAAAAATAAAAGAGGCTGGTGATGTGACTCAGTGTTATAGCCCCCCCCCCCCAAGTTCACTTCTTAGCACAGTCAGTCAACCAATAAAACGTGAAAGAAGTTCAGACCTGGAGTTGAATCTTGATTTTTGCCACTGAGTGATTTTGGGCAAGTTATAGAACTTTTCTCAGCCTTTGTCTTTATATGCAAAGTATTCTTCATAATTTTACATATTGTATGGGGTAGTTGTGATGGTTAAATGAGGGAGTCTAAAAAATGAATTGTTTTGTCTGGCCCAAGACAGGTGCTTAGTAAATGTTAAATACTTTTGCTATTTTTATTAATATGAACTGGGCTCTATGCTAGATACTAAGAATGCTAAGACCAATAAGATAGGTTCCCTACTTTCATGAAGGTCAGAGTCTACTTGGGAGATAGACAAGAAGTGGGACCTTATAGAAAAGTGTAGTTAAGCATTCTACTAGAGAAAAGCCCCAATTCACAGACTAGAAGGCGTGATTGGGGGACAGGTCTCTCCAAGTTACCCTTGAACTGAGTCTTAAAGGAAAAGTCAGAATTTCTGAAAGGATATAAAGAAGGAGATTTCCAAACAAAGAACAAGATTAAAAACTTTTGCCAAGATATGGGCTGGAAAGCCTGGAGATTCTCATGAGACTCTACCAGTGTAGTTCACTATAATTCACTGGCATCAGAGAGATCTGAGCTCTAATTTTGACCCCACTGTCAACAAGTCACATTACTATCTTAAGCTGTCAGTCATCTGTGAAGTAGAGTTAATGACAGAGAAGCTGCCCTACAAGGTTGATGCAAGGGCTATATGATATGATGCCTGTTAAGTGTTATCAAAATGTTTGGTTCCAAAGTGACACACACAAAAAAAACCATTATAACCATCACTAGTGTGTAACACAGAAATGGCTCATGAGTAGATGGTCTAATGTCTCCTTCATCTTTGTATTTTGTTTTTAGCTCCAATAACCCTATATTAAGACATTTTCTAAGTCAGCACCCACTAGACAGTGGTCTCCTACTGGAATTAGGTTATGATCCAAATCTCAACATAGGGCATAGTTCATAATGTCAAGGGGAAAGTACTAAGGATTACAGAGTCAACCAGGAAGCGAACCAGAATATGTGGCCAGATATGGTACTACATGCCTATAATCCCAGCAGTTTGGGAGGCTAAGGCAGGAGGATCAGAGAGGGAATATGGAAGTGAAAAAGAATGTTCATTGGAATACCTTAATTCAGGCTGGCTGTGGTGGTGCACATATGTAATCCCAGGGATTTGAGAAGCTGAGGTGAGAGGTTCAAGGCCAGCCTGGGCAACTTAGTGAGACCCTGTTTCAAAATAAAAGATAAAAAGGGCTGGGGATATAGCCCAGTGGTAGAATGCTCTTGGGTTCAATCCCAGTGCCTTCTCCCACAAACCCAAAAATAAATCTAAAAACACCTTGATTCTTTTAAAAATAAGAAGGAAAAGCTTAAAAGTACTTCTACAACTGACCTCAGAGGGAAGAACTACAGGAATGGGACATGGGATAACTTTTCAAGTTGTTCTTTTGCTGTTAGACAACATATTATCTGGGGGAGTTGGGCTTGTTGGATCTCTGTTGTTTTTTTAAATTTTTTTAAATATTTCTATTTTTTAGTTTTCGGTGGACACAACATTTTTGTTTGTATGTGGTGCTGAGGATCAAACCCGGGCCGCACGCATGCCAGGCAAGCGCGCTACCACTTGAGCCACATCCCCAGCCCGGATCTCTGTTCTTTAGACACAAGCTTCTATTATCTCTTGTGAAGCAGAAAACAAAATCAGATGAAAATATCAGTCTGATTTTATGATTGGTATGATTCCTTTATAAGAAGGAATCTCTAAAGATATTTTCCAGTAGGCTCCATCTGGATGTCATCTAATATTAAAGGATTTTACATTATCTTTGGATACCCAGACCAATCTGCAACAATTTTGCATCTCAAATAATACATAACCACCCAGTTCCTTCTTATCTTTATATCCTTAAGGTGTCTAGCCAGGGGCAGTGGTGCTCTAATCCCAGCTACTTAGGAGTCTGAGGAAGTTCAAAGCTAGGCTGAGTGATTTAGTGAAACCCTGTCTCAAAAAATAAAGCGGGCTGGGAATATAATTCACTGGTAGAAGAAAGCTCCTAAGTTCAATTCCCATTACTGCAATAAATAACTAAAGTAAATAAAACAATGTCTATTAAATAGTAGGTTTTTACAAACCTGATGATTCAACTGAATTTTTTGTTTGTTTGTTTGTTTGCAGTATGGGGTATTGAACCCAGGTGTGCTACATCCCTAGTCCTTTTTATTTTGAAACATTGCCTCACTAAAATGCCAAGCCTGGCCTCAAACTTGGTGATTCTCCTGCCTCAGCTTTCCAAGTAGCTTGGATTTCAGGTGTGTGTCACCACATCTGGCTCAACAGAATTTATAAAGTTTCAGTTTTTGATTATTTAATGGGTGGAATGGAGCATAAGTCAATTGTAGCAACTAACTGGTCCCATCTATTCTGAGAGAGGAAGGACAGAATGTGATGCTGCTGTATTGTTAAACTCCAGAAGACCAGGCCTGTTTAACTGTGACAATGGCAGTCCTTTAGTTCTCACATTACTAACCTCCCTTGTGACTTTATGTTGATTAGTCTTGTGACTTTATGTTGGTAAGTCTTTTTTCAGAAATTTATTTCTACTTCACTTTTCATGGAAAATAAATTAAGGAGAGGTCTATACTAAGAAGCAGAGAGATGTAAGACCAAAAGGATATTAACTTTAGTTCAAAGGAAAAGGAACACCGAAGAAAAAGTTGGCAGAACCAATTGCGAATGAGATCTTTAAAATGCACACCAGTCTTTGAGTTTCCATAGGTATTAATGCCTCTGGATTAATACTCCTCTGGATTAATACAGGCCCTGGATTGTGTAAACCTGATACTCACAGAGGGACCAGGTAGTCCAGGGACACAACCACCATGGCCTTCAACTCAGAATATAATTCCTTATCTCATTCAGCAATGAGGGGGGTTACAAAGAAGTAAGTACTCTTATCTGTGGGTAGAAAGGATTTAAATTTCCCTTGGGATGTGCAAGGTCATGAAAAATTCTAAACATTTTTGCAGTACTGGGGATTGAACTCAAGGTGCTCTACCACTGATCTATATCCCCCGCCCATTTTATTTTGAGAACAGGGTTGCCCAGTCTGGCCTCA